ACCAAGGACGTGACAAGTGCCTTGCGGAAATTAGAATTTTTTTTGGGGGGGAAAACTATGAAGAAAGACATAGAATTACATATTGCTAAGTGTTTGACATGTGCTCAGCATAAGGGTATTACAAGGTCACCGGCTCCAATTCTACAATATCCTACACCAGACCGCCCGTTTGACACAGTCGCCATAGACTTGTTTCAACTTCCGAGGAGTCATCAGGGATCCTCGTACGTCCTAGTGTGTGTGGATCATTTTTCTAGATTTGTGGTTTTGGTCCCAATGAAGGATAAAACAGCCGAATCTGTGGCCTATGCATTAGTGATGAATCTTATATGTCCACATACTACGCCCAAGGTTCTTCTCTCCGACAATAGATTAGAGTTCAAGAATCAGCTAGTAGTGCAAATTTGTGTCCAATATGGAATAAAGCAAAGTTTTATGACAGCCTATCACCCACAGGCTAATGGCCTTGTCGAGAGAGCCAACCGCAAAATCCTAGAGATACTTCGCCCGATTGTGTGTGATATGCAATACACATGGGAAGATTGGTTATCACAAGTTGCAGCATCTATGAATGGGTCGATTAATAGCTCTACCGGCAAATCATCCTACTACATTGTCTAATAGACAATGTCTATGGCATAGACAACCATCTGCCTTATGATGTACTTACAGACAAGCCATGCCCTCTTTATAATGTGGATGATTTCGCGACAAAACAGATCAGCGTTTTTACAGATATTCATGGCCAAGTACAGAAACATTTAGCAGCTTCACGCGCTGAAATGATTTTTAAGCAACATAAACAAGCTAAGCCTGTCGTGTTAGAAATAGGCGATGCTGTTATGGTGAGAGAACCTGAAAGGAGCTCTAAGGTTTCGGCCAAATTTTCTGGTCCATTCCGCATTATCGCCAAAGAAGCGGGCAACAAGTTTAAAATTTGGAAGCCTAATGCACAGTCCGCAGATGTCGTGCATGCGGATCGTCTTAAAAAGGGCCATAAGGATTTACTACCCAAAGATGGGAATGATGTCATAGACACATCTTTCCAGACAAATGTTAATGATATCATAGACGCATCTTTTTAAACAGTGCACAAGCAGAGTGTGCTTAATGATCATCGTTTGAAACTTCGTTCTGCAAACAAATATTAAAATACGTTAAAACTTTTACAGAATGGCTTGGATCATCAGTGTGCTGCTCCTACTGCTTTGTGGCACCGTTGTGTTGACGGATATGTCCACAGATTTCCTTTAGCCAGGTGCGCTTGTTGCACTCCTTGGACGCATTCTCGTTGTTGTGGACGTAGAGAACATAAAATATGAGTTGCACGGACTGCTCAAGCTTCCCCGCCAGATGGAAACCATTGACGCTCAACTACAGACAGCTTTGACTGTCCTTGATGATCTCCGTACAACTCCAAACATTTCGACGATGGTTTCACAAACTGTTGAGCTTCAGCTGTTTCGTCTCAGAACCCTTCACAAGCTTCTCGTCGCTGTCGGAAACACTATTCCAGCGTCTCAGGATGATCTTGCAAAGAAAGTGGGTTCCCAAACATGAAGAAAGCGAGGATTGTTTAATTTTGTTGGTCTTATACAAAGCACTCTATTTGGCACAGCGACTGCCGAGGATGTAGCTAAATTAGGAGACCGCATGAACATTGTCGATCAAGCTGTTTCTAAACGAAATCGTGTTATTACCCAAACTTTTCATGAAATTACTGCCTTGGAATCGAAAGTTAATGCGATCATTTCGGAGTCTAACAATTTATCTTGGGTTGTGTATAAGTTAATGAATTCAGTCCCTACGTTGGAGTGGCTCCTATATTTTTCTGAGTATTTGCATGGTGCAGAAGATTCTGTTCAGGATATGATTACTAATAAAAATTAACTAATCACAAGCATCGTGGATGCTGGGTTAGGACGAGTGGATGCAAAGCTTGTGCCTGTGAAGACTCTTCTTGAAGCATTACAAATAGCCAAGTTGACTTATCATTTAACTCCAATTTTCACAACTCATGAGGTAGAATATTATTACCCTCTGTTGGAGTCAACTCTCACGCACAATGCTATTCTTATCTACATGCCTCTGCTAGGGCAACATAAATTTAATGCATGCCATTTGGAACCCTTCCCTTGGTATGTTAACGACACACTGTATACTCTGGATAGATCAAAAGAACTTTTGCTACTAGATGAATAATATACCTTGCTAGCAGTGGATGATCCGAGGGTATTATCACGGTGTACATCGTCATATTTACATTTACACGTATGTCCAGCCTATGTATTCGCATTTATTCCTGCTGCAGTCAACTGTGTTTCATGCACATCTACATAATGTGCAGTATTTTTTCTTTCCTGATGAAACTAATGTAATTTTAAAATGCCACGATGGTGGTAAGTAGTTATTTGTGAAAGGTTATTATAAGGCTCCGGATTACTGTGAGATAACTTGTAGTTCATTGAAGACCTTGCCTTCTCATCAGCATTTTGCATTGAATTTAAATCTTACTTCAGATTTAATTCCTTTGTTTCAAGACCTTAACTTCACTATTGATGAACTTAATATTGTCTCAGAAAAGTTGACAGTTATTTCTTACTTGAAAGAGTCACAATTTGCTGATTTAGATGATCATCTGTCGTTTTATTTTGTACGGGGATTTGCAATACCGAGTTTAACCATTCCCCCTATAGTGTTAATTCTGGCAGTGATATTTTTTTTTTTGCGATTATAAGTCAGTGTCTCCCAAGTTGAACATTGTACATAAGATACTAGTCCGTAAGACACTTAAGTCTAGGATCCCAGTCGTTGATGAGCCTACGGTTCCAGAGTCCCCAGCTTAGTGTCTACACAATACACATATGTTTGTAACATGGTTAGGTTTATGTATAGGATGTATTCTACGAGATTAGTTTATTCCTCGTGGAAGCTCGGAAGGTGGTGACCGAGCCATGTATTAGCCCCTTAGTCTTTATAAAAATGTCAGGGCAGTACATTGGGTTTATATAATCATATCACCCCCTGTAACTTTCCACTGGCTGTAAGGTGACATGGTCATATCACGTGATGGGTAGGTTCCTGGAGGCGCGCCTCAGTGACTGTTAAGGTCAGCGTTTGAAAGCCGGTTGCCTGCGGCATTGTTACTCAACCCCTCGCACCAACCGGACGTATTTAGCAGAGCTATTTAACATAGCCTCCGTCCTCATCTTACCACTCATAGCTACAGTGATAAGTTACGATGATATACACGTGGAACTGTATCTGAGATAGTTCCTAAATAAATGGATAACAGACAATTGGGTTTCGCTACTAAAACCCTATATAATATACATGTTCCAGCCTCATTAACCCAGACGGAATCAAAGGTTAAAGGACCTAGAACAGTGATATAGTGTGGTGGTGATACAGTGTGGTGGTGATCAGGGCCGGATTAACCATGAGGCACTGGCCTCAGGCCCCAGACTCTTAGGGGCCCCCAGATTCTAAGGATAAAAATATTTAGTTATATATGCCATTAAATGGTCAATTAGTAAGTAAGCCATTAACAATTTCGTTCTTAATGTGTCCAATTGGATCATACATATACATTTTAGTGACTCGGTAGTGGTGTGTGGCAACTGTTAGTCTGTTCGACAACAATAGCTGACGACACTTAGCTGATCCATTGTGACGTACGGACGGTACGGTGCCAGACTTTCGTATTGGAGGACAATTTCAGGTAAACAATGATGTATATAACTTCAGTAATAAGTTATGAATGATCAAAGAATTATGTGATGTGCAAAATAATGGATAATTTGGAAGGGAAATATGAGGAACGGGTATGTTTATATTGGATTATGTGGCGGGATGGATTACCTAGTAGGGGGCCCCCAAGCTGATCTGCGCCTCAGGCCCCTATTAAGCTTAATCCGGCACTGGTGGTGATACAGTGTGGTGGTGATACAGTGTGGTGGTGATACAGTGTGGTGATGATACAGTAGTGGTGATACAGTGTGGTGGTGATATAGAGGGGTGGTGATACAGGTGGTGATACAGTGTGGTGGTGATGTAGAGAGGCTCCTACCTCAATCTTAGGAAGGCTTAAGATTATAATAAGCGTATAGATGGTTTGGCTGCATGAGGTGAGTGGTTTTGGTGCGGTAGTGAATGTTAGATAAACCCCCGCTTGTTTTACCTGTTCATAAGACACCTAAACGGTACCTAACCTAACCCAGGCAGGCAGCATTAGAATGTTCAAACAAGTTATACCAGCTGGCGTGTCGAATCTTCAGATAATCCAAGCAATTATAATATTATAACTCAATAAAATTAATGAAATTAACATAGAATACAAATTTATGTTCGTATAAATGATAATAGTTTGTTACCAGGGATCGCTATTCAGAGCAAGAATGATGGCAGCAAGTATCATCAACTAGCCTGTATAAACAAGACTACGTAATCACTGAAATATTAGGAAATTTTTCAGTAACGAGGAATCATATATTTTTGTGTAATATTTGAATATCAATAAATTGGTAAATGGATAAAGAATTGCTTTGATTTTTTTATTTCTTGCAAACATTCGAGACTCAAAAAGCTGACGTAACAGCTAATATTTAGTAAACAACTACACAACTAGAAAGTATAGTTTTTGTAACACGAATATAGTGAAATTGTAAAATGAGAAAACGGTAAATAATTGCTTTGATTATTGTTTATATTGAAGAGTTACGGAATTAAAACTAAGCGTCGCGAGCAAATACGTTGGTTAATAGTGATAACAAAAGAGTTTTCCTCTCCCTCCTAAGTTCACTTCATGATTAATGCTACGTGAGGGATTTAAGGTTAGGTTAGGTTCCATACGGGAGGCAAAAAGGTGGTAGGGAGGACTGGTCTTCAACAAAACTGACCTCACCTGGCCAGATATCCCGCCACCCTCTGTTGCTGGATATAAACCCAGGTTAATATTACTGAAATCGTTTAATGTTGTTTTTTTGTGTGTTTAATTTCAGAGTAACAAAGAACCAGTGAGGACCTGACAGACATACTGTCATCATGGACGACATTGGAAAGTCGACATCGGAGTTGCCTTCACACTTGACTCAGTACATTGCCGCCCTCTCAGGTATACTGCACTCTGTCCTAAATGAAATCTTTCCTTCAATAGTTACACGTGTTTGTGCTTAAATATAAGAAAAGCATTAGTATGTTTAATTATCAGGTGAAAAACTTGGTTGGGGTTAATATTTACACAAATTGTGTCTTAATACACACATTTTCCCATTACAGTCTCTCTGGGAGGATTCAGTTTCAGCACCAGTTTAGCCTACACCTCCTCCGCCAGCCACCAACTCATGAACAATTCCACCAACTCTTCTCTGGTTATCACGACGGATCAAAACAATTGGTTCTCCTCCACCATCAACCTTGGAGGTATCATAGGGGGGCTCTTGGGTGGGGTGTGTGTCAACACCCTGGGAAGGAGAGGCGCGATGCTGGCTTCTGTGTTGCCCTTCGTGGGAGCCTGGGTGTTTATATGTGAGTCTAATGTAGGTTATATTGACGGATGTGTGTGTGTGTGTGTGTGTGTGTGTGTGTGTGTGTGTGTGTGTACCTTCTTTTGGAAGGGTAAGCCTGCTGCGGAGAGAAACCGCATTTATGGAGTTGGCTTTGCCATCCGCCAACGCATCCTACACAGGCTAACTGAAATGCCTATTGGGATCAACGAACGCCTCATGAGGCGCCGAGTCCCACTGAATCACTCACGTGAAGCCTTTTTTGTCAGTGCATATGCCCCAACACTGGATGCAGAGAATGATATCAAGGAGGCCTTCTATGCCGACCTCGACAGAGTGCTAACCTACAGTATATCCCCAGAGAAGACAAGGTTGTGCTCCTTGGTGACTTCAATGCCAGAGTTGGTAGATATGTTGACATTTGGCAGCGAACCATAGGGAGAAATGAACTAGACAAGTGAATCCCAACGGCCTACTCCTCCTCAGCAAGTGTGCTGCACACAACCTTACTATCACCAATACCTTGTTTAGGCAGGCCGACAAGTTCAAGGGTTCGTGGCAACACCCACGATCCAAACACTGGCATCTCATTGACTACATCATTGTCAGAAAACGAGATTGCTGAGATATCCTCATCACCCATGCCATGCCTGGCTCGGACCACTGCGACACTGATCATCGGCTCGTTAGACCCAAGCTCTCACTTCACGTTGCCTCAAAACTGCGAAGGCAGCAAGCCTCCAGAAGAGGTTTTAACACTAAGCGTCTGGAGGATCAAGCGGTAGCACATGCTTTCAGAGAGCAGCTCGAACATGGGCTGATAAACAACCCAACAACAAAAAACGCAAATTCCAGTGTCGAATGGGATATTTTCAACACTGCCATGACAATAACTAACAAAGACCCTCGGCCAGATCGAAAGAATACACCAGGACTGGTTTCATGAAAATGACCCGGCAATCAATGTACTCATCAGTGATAAACGTGCTGCTTTAACTGACTGGCAGGACAACCCTCAGTCTCGGACCAAAGCTGATACCATTCACAAGAAGAAAGCGGCGGCCCAGCGGGAACTTCGCAATCTAAAAAATGGCTGGTTTAAAAATAAAGCATTTGAAACACAAAAAATTGCAGATCAGCACAAGATGCGCCAATTTTTCAATTCCATTAAAAAATTTTATGGGCCAATGACTTGTGGCGCAGCTCCCCTCCGCTCATCCGACGGTAACTCCATAATTAAAGACGATGAAGGAGGCTCAGCGCTGGAAAGAGCACTACCATTCACTGCTCAACCGAAACACCGATGTGGATGTCTTGACTACCCAGCAGGTCCCTCAGCATCCAGAGCTGACCCACCTCAGCTATCCTCCATCCCTGGATGAGATAGCTACTGCCATCAAACAAGTGAAAAATTACAAAGCCTTTGGGCCTGATGGAATCCCAGCCTGGGTGTACAAGCCAAAAGGACCTCTGCTTACCAGCCGACTCTACTCTCTCCTGGAGAATATAAGGGAAAAGGAGGAAATTTCCCGAGCTCTTAAAGACGCCTCAATCGTCAATATTTATAAGAAAAAGGGAGACCTGTCAGACTGTGGCAACTACCGCGGATCTCGCTGCAGTGCTTAGTTGGCAAGATTATCCTAAGCCGACTTCTTCCTGAGGCGGAAAACTTCCTCCCAGAATCTCAATGTACTTTTAGACCATCACGTGGCACCACTGATATGATCTTTGCTGCCTGTTAGATACAGGAAAGGTGCAGAGAACCGCGTCGTGATCTGTACATGACTTTCATTGACCTAATCAAGGCCTAAGACTCAGTCAACAGGGAAGCCCTCTGGTGGACCTTCAGCCGGCTTGGCTGCCCACCAAAATTCATCGCCATTGTGAGGCAACTCCACGATGGCATAAACGGCAGTGTCCTGCACAATGGCACCCAGTCTGAGTTCTTCCCCAACCTAACAGGGGTTAAACAAGGGTGTGTACTGGCACCAACTCTCTTTTCCATTTTCTTGGCTGCCTTTCTTACTCGTGCCAGCGCAAATTTAGCCGGCGGGGTGGACATCCGGTACCGGATGAAGGGTCTTTTCAACATAAGACGACTCCAGGTAAGACCAAAGGTATTGGCAGCTTCTATTACTGATCTTCATTATGCAGACTACGTCACCCTTCTCGCTCACACTGAACGCGACCTACAGGAGATCCTGAACACCTACCCAGATGCGTATGCACGCTTCGGCCTTGAGGTTAATGTACCCAGGACTCAGATTCTCTTTGAGCCTTCCCCTGGTTCAGCCACACCGCTACCATCCAACCAGCTTAACGGTACTACCCTCACTAATGCTACTCACTTTCGGTATCTCGGCTTCAACCTGTCCTCCAATGCAGACATTGATGAAGAGACTCATCATCGGATCAAATGTGTATTCCAAGACTTTGGAAGACTCCGAAACCGTGCCTTCAGTTGTAGGGAGCTGAAATTATCTACAAAGTTATGCTGCTATATGGCAGCAAGACATGGGATACATACAGGAGGCACATCAAGGCACTTGAAATCTTCCACCAACGTAGTCTACGTTCCATCCTCCGTCTTCGCTGGGAAGACAAGAGGACAAATGACAGTATTCTTGCTGACACCAACTGTTGGAGCATCGAGACTACCATTATCCATGAACAATTACCCTGGACTGGCCATGTTACCCTCGTGAACGACAGTAGGCTGCCAAACCAGCTACTTTAGAATCACCTTACTAATAGTAAACGTAATGCTGGCGGCCAATTGAAGAGAAATAAGGATGTTCTTAAGACAAACCTGAAAAAGTGCCAAACCGACCCCCTCACATGGGAAACGATTACTCTACACCGTAACACTTGGAGGAGCACCATACAAGAAGGTGTCAATTCTTTCGGGTTAGCCTGACTGCATAACGAGGAAGACAAGCGCCAACGCCGGAAAGATGCAGCCGCCGTCCCTCCCGCACTAGAGGTAGCCCCCCACATATGCAACTTCTGTGATCGACCCTGCCGGTCCCGTATCGGCCTCTTTAGTCACCTCAAAACTCACCAACCTAGGTATCATAGCTGGATGATCGTCATACTCGATTCCGAGTGACAGCAAAGGAGCAGGAAAAGTGGAGTGCATCAAAAAGTGGTGGGACCTGGTAACATCGCGAGGTCCACAAATAGGGTACCACCCAAACGCCAGCAAGTCCTTCCTCATCGTGAAGCCAGAACATTATGAACAGGCATTGGAGGTTTTTGGCGGAAGTGAGGTCAAAATAACTAAGGACGGCCAAAGACATCTAGGCGCAGTAATTGGCACTACGGACTTCAAGACCGAGTACGTAGCGGGAAAGGTGAATGAGTGGGTTAGCGAAATCCAAGCTCTGTCTGAGATTGCTAACACAGAGCCACATGCGGCCTTTGCATCATTCACCCATGGAGTCAAGCATCGCTGGAACTACCTGATGCGTACCATCCCTGAGATCGGACCCCTCCTCCACTCTCTGGAAGAAGCTATCAGTGTCAAGTTCATCCCCAAACTAGTGAAACACCCTGACTTAACCCCAGCAGAAAGAACACTTCTTGCACTTCCCTCAAGACTGGGAGGGATGGGACTAACTAATCCAGAGGAGATTGCTGACACTGAACATCAAAATTCATTTAAGCTCACAGCAGCCCTCACGGATCACATAATAGCCCAGAATGCAACAGGGGAAGTGGATACCAGCGAAGTAAATAAGATTCGTAGGTCCATTATGACAGATCGGCAGCACTGCCAAAATGACATGTTGCAGCAACTATTGCTGCAGGTTCCAGAAAATTTGACAAAAAAAGTAGCTATAGCGCAGGAGGTGGGCACCTCGAACTGGTTAACTACGTTACCGATAAGGGCAAATGGTTTCAGCCTTAACAAACAAGAATTTACAGATGCCATTGCTCTAAGGTACGGTTGGCCAGTCGATGGTTTGCCCTCCCAATGCGTGTGTGGCTCTTCCTATGATGGCGATCACGCCATGGTCTGCAAGAAGGGGGGCTTCATATGCATGAGGCATGACGAGGTAAGGGATCTCACAGCAAATATGTTGAAGGAAATCTGCCGGGACGTCATGGTAGAACCGACCCTCCTTCCATTGGATGGCGAGATCTTCCAACACAGGACTTTAAACACATCTAACGAAGCCCGTGTGGACGTCAGTGCTCGAGGATTCTGGACGCGGGGACAGCGAGCTTTCTTCGACATCAGGATTTTTGATCCCATGGCCGTTTGTCACCGTAACCTTGCAAGATGTTTCTACGCCAGACTCGCGGAGCTGATCTCCGAACAGAAGCAGCAGCCCAGAAGTTATGTTACAGCCTGGATGAGATGTCGACTGTCCTTCTCTCTCCTTCGGTCGGCTTTGCTCTGACTCAGGGGAACGAGAGCTTCTGCCCCTATTCCGACAACTGCTGCAGATATTGACTATGAGGCTACAGTCACTGAATGCCGCATAGATCTGCGGCTCAACTAATTTAACACAGATAGGATAGCTTCTTATGTATTAGGATATTTAATATTAAGGTAAATAAATGGCGGCGAAGGTGTGGCTATTGGGGGAGGCTGGAGGCCACTGTCTAAAAAAAAAAAAAAAAAAAAAAGTAGTAGTAGTAGTGTGTGTGTGGTCAGCATCCTCGCCTTGCAAGCGAGCGGCTAGTTGGATCTCCGGGCAGGGTGAAACTACGGGCAAGTATCTTTAAGCTATTTGCCTCTGTCTACTCAGCAGTAATTGGGAACTTGGATGTTAATCGAATTGGGGATCGTATTCCGGGGTAATGGTTCGCCAGTGCAGTTGGCGATTGACCAGTCTTCTAGGACTATTCCTTAACACTGGGTCACGCCTAGGTGGCTCTTGGGCGGGCTATCCTCGATTTCGAGGGGCTTCCATTATGTGTGTGTGTGTGTGTGTGTGTGTGTGTGTGTGTGTGTGTGTGTGACTTTAATCATCACCAATCTTGTTAATTACTTATGGATATCCTACAGCCTTCGCCCAGAACTTCGCCATGTTGATGTGTGGAAGATTTATTTCTGGTGTGTGTGCTGGGGTCACCTGCATCGCTGTGCCCACGTACATAGGGGAGATCTCTTCGCCAGACATCAGAGGAACATTAGGTAAGGTAAACAAAGCTCTTTAGGAACGAAATTAATTTGCCGAAATATACCGTTAATTTAGCCTTTACACCTGTCTCAGAGCCAACAGATGTGTACAATAATCAATGGTTTCCTCAGGTATGGGCTTGCCGGTGATGGTTGCTTTTGGCATAGAGTACTCCTATATTTTCGGTGCTATTATGACCAGCTGGAGGAGTCTGGCTCTGGTCTCTGCCATCCCTCCTGTCATATATTTCATCTTGGTCTTCTTCACCAAGGAATCTCCGACTTATCTTCTCTCCAAAGGGAAAGAAGAAGAAGCCAAAGAAGCGCTGCAGTACTTCAGGGGTAAGTAAGGACTGTGTGTGTGTGTGTGTGTGTGTGTGTGTAATAATAATAATAATAATAATAATAATAATAATAATAATAATAATAAACGGTATATTAATAGAGTTGCAGCAGGTGGCTGAAAATATACAGAATTACATTTAATTTAGACATAATGATATAATATGCATTGAATACATTTACAGGGATGTGCAGTACATAAATCAGGAGTTGTTTATTATTTTAACAATAGATGGGATGGTGCTGTTCTTATATCTATCGGTGCGGGCTCTTATGGGCTGAATTTTGTTGTAGTGGCGGACTGCGCGAGTTGGGTGGGGGGCTGCAGGTGGCAGGAGGTGGCGATGGCGAGGGTGGTGCAGTAGTCCACGGCCAAACCTTTCCAGTGCTTGGTGGTGGAGGTCACTGAGGGATGGCATTTCCAGGGTGGAGAGAGCGTTGGTGTAGCCGGAGTATTCTGCGCCGAGCATGATGTGTGTATGTGTGTGTGTGTGTAATAATAATAATAATAATAATAATAATAATAATAATAATAATAATAATAATAATAATAATAATAATAATAATAATAATAATAATAATAATAATAATAATAATAATAATAATAATAATAATTAACGGTTTATTGAAAGAGCTTGGCAGCCAGAAGGCTGAAAATATACAGTTACATATTTGGGGAATGGGTTTCGAATTACAAATAATATACAAGTAACATAAGTGATACAAATAAGATATATAATAACTAGATGGGGGAAAAGCTCAAACTACAGGGCATTTCAACATAGTGACAGTGCAAGAAGTAGTATTTACTGGGAGTGAATACACTGGTTTATTACAAGTTATTGATAATATTTACAATGGTTGGGACTGGGATGTTCTTATAGAGATCAGTTCGTGCACGTATGGGCTGGATGCGGTTGTGGTGTCGAACAGCAATTCTCGGGCTAGGGATCTCAGGTGGTAGTAGGAGCCGGTGTCGAGGATGGTGTAGAAGCTTCTTACCAAATTTGCAGATGAGGTCGTGGTGATGGTCAGTGAGAGTCGAAAGGGTCAGTGTGTTGAGTGCTTCTTGATATGTGGAGTAGGAAGGGGAGAGAATAATCTTGCATGCCCTCTTTTGCACTTTTTCTAGGTGTTTACGTTGTGTGGCATTTAGGGAGGAAGACCAGGTAGGGGAGGCATAGGTGAGCTTGGGAAGTATGAATGTTGTGCAAACACTGAGGAGCTCGGGTGCAGGAACTCCAAGGGACTTGAGTCGGCAGAGGAGGTGGAGACGGAAATTGGATGATTTGACAACTTCACTGACGTGTGGTTTCAAATTAAGTTTGTTGTCTATGGTGACGCCGAGGAGCTTCGTGAAATCTAAAACCTGGAGTGTGTTCGGGCCTAAAGTAATGGAAGGAGGTGGGACAATGTCGGAGGAGAGGTTGATGTGCCTAACCATGGTCTTGGTATGGTTGATGGTGACATGGTTGTTGGTGGCCCAGTTTTGGAGACTGTTCAATAAATCCTGAAGGGCGGTATAGTCGGGAGCAGAATTGTTGGCGCTGATCCCAATGGTGGAGTCGTCGACATATTTCCAGCGAGCAGGGGTTTCTCTTAGGGCATCATTGATGAGCATAAGGAAGCAGAGTGGTCCCATCTTGGTGCCTTGGGGGACGCCACAGGTGAGTGACTGAAAGGTGGAGACAGCCCCTCGGAAGCGTACAGCTTGGCGTCGGTCACTGAGGAAGTCTGTAAGCCATGGTATAAGACTTCTCCGAAGCCCGAGGTCAATAGCTTTGTTGATGATTATATTATGGTCGACTAGGTCGAATGCTTTAGTGAAATCAATGAAGGCGACTGCATAACGAGGTAGACAAGCGCCAACGCCGGAAAGACGCAGCCGCCGCCCCCCCCCCCCGACGCACTAGATGTAGCCCTCATATGTGCCACATCTGTGATCGTCCCTAAAGGTCCCGTTTCGGCTTCGTTAGTCACCTCAGAACTCACCAACCTAGGTGACATCCACAATAACTCATATCATTGTATCACAGCTGGATGATCGTCATACTCGATTCAGAGTGACAGCAAAGTAGTAGTAGTAGTTGTAATAGTAATAGTAGTAGTAGTAGTGTGTGTGTGTGTGTGTGTGTGTGTGTGTGTGTGTGTGTGTGTGGAACACATAGTACAGATTCATCTCTTTCTGATAAATTTGTTCGACTGTCAATCAGACACACTAACAAGCTCGCACTCCGACAGGTAAACATTACGACGTGGAACCAGAGATGAACGTGATGAGACAAACGCAGGAGGAAGCTCGACAGAACACAGTGTCCATGGACGAACTTAAAAAGCCTTACATCGTCAAGCCTCTCGTGATCTCCTGCATCCTCATGGTCTTACAGCAGCTGTCGGGTGCTATTCCTGTATTATTTAACATGTCTTTAATATTCAAGGTGAGGTAACATCCAGCAACTCAAGCATCTTAGCGTTTACTTCCATAGTGAGACAGCTAGTACTGTCTTATGGTAGATGGCGAGATGTTCAGGAAATTGTCATACAAGCTTACCATTGGTTGGGATTGTCTATAGATAATGGAGATATAGAGAGGTGTTGTCAGGCAGTGTTAGGAAGGACCTCTGAGACCTTGAAGACTCTACTCCACAACAATAACACGACAGTAACACACGTAGGATATGAGTAAACAAATAAATGTACAAAATCATGAGTCTTCAAGGCATGGACCTGTCCCTAAAAGGTTCTATCTTCATACAGTCAAGGACGTAGTGTTGGAGTTTGTGGCGATATGCCAGGCCACACACTTTGCGTTTAGTTTTGTTCACATCTGCTTGACGGATATACAGTACTACTAGAGGTACTTGTATTCTAACCTTAGTCTAGCGGTTACAATATCTTGTAATCTAGTGATCTTGTTACTTGCTCCATATACAGTGTTTCGTTTTATACATCTCACGATGGTAAACAATGGATTGAGTAGTGCCTGTTTGCACTTGTCTGCTTGCGTCAACTTCATCGATATTCCATCACTCATGCAGACTGCTGGGTCGGGTCTACCAGCGGATGTGAACACTATCATCGTGGGTCTGATGATGGCAGTGAGCGCAGTCGTCGCGGGGGCACTGGTGGACACGGCTGGCAGGAAAATCCTTCTCATCATCTCCGCCGCCGCCATGACAATCTCACTAAGTCAGCACAATAGCCTTACCAAGTGTTCATACTACCAAACTGCCATACTACCATACTGATAAACTACCGTACTGCCATACTGATATACTACCATACTGCCATACTAACCATGCTAGCATAATGCCAAACTACCATACTATCATACTGCCATAACAATACACTACCATACTACCATACTGATAAAATACCATACTACCATACTGCCATACTAACCATGCTAGCATATTGCCATACTACCATACTGCCATACGAGCATACTGCTATACTACCATTCTACCACAGTGCCACACAAACAAACTGACGCCCTACCATACTACCATACTGTCATACTGCCTTACTAGCTTACTGCCATACTACAATACTGCCATAGTACCAAACTGATACACTATCATACTATTATACTGCCATACTACCATACTACTATACTAGCAAACTACCATATTGCCATATTACCATACTGCCAAACTAACCATACTGCCATACTACCACAAAGCCATACTACCATACTATCAACCTACCATACTAGCATACTGCCATGCTACCATACTACCATATTACCATACTACCATACTGCCATACTGCCATATTACCATACTATCATACTGCCATACTACCATACTAACATACTACCATACTAGCATACTACCATACTAGCATACTATCATACTGCCATATTACCATACTATCATACTGCCATACTACCATACTGCCATACTGCCATACTGTCATACTACCATACTGCCATACTACCATAGTAGCATACTACCATACTACCATACTGCCATAATAGCATACTACCCTACTATCATATTACTATACTGCCATACTAGCATACGATCATGCTGCCATACTACCATGCTGCCATACTACCATGCTGCCATACTACCATGCTGCCATACTACCATACTAGCATACTACCATACTGCCATGCTATAAAAGTGCCATACTACCATACTATCATACTGCCATACTAGCATACTATCCTACTGTCATAATTCCATTCTGCCATTACCATAGTCCAGTACTACCATACTACCATATTACCATACGGCCATACTACCATACTGCTATGCTACCATACTGCCATGGTACCATACTACGATATTGCCATTCAGCTATACTAGCTTACTACCATACTAGCATAATATCAATCATCCATGCTATCATACTCCTACACTACTATACTGCCATACTACCATACTACCATGCTACCATGCTACAATACTACCACACAAGAGCTCTACCACAAAACTCGTGAACACCGCCCATTCACTCCACCATACACTACCATGCTACCATACTACCAAACCTAACTTAACCTAAGGCTTTGTTTATTCCCTCCACCAGCGGCTCTTGATGTCTTTTTCTACCAGAAGTTTCTAGATGAGGATAGAGCGATAGAGAACTTAAGTTGGCTGCCGCTGATTTGCCTCATCGTCTTCGTAACAGCGTTCGCAATAGGCCTTAGCCCCGTCCCCTGGGTTATGACGGGTAAGTCACCAACCACAACTGAATGCATTTTGGTGTGATTTTTAGCTATATAGGAATTGTGTTAATTATTATTTAGATAGATTTATATATATTAGAGGAGAAAATTGGTCATATATTCAGGGATGTGTAAGTCATTATTTTCATCAATGATAATAGCAATTGCACACGATCATATAGAAAGACTGTCGGAACTGAAGCGTTTATTTTTTTTTAAGAATATTCAAACATTATACCATCAAGACCTATCACACTACTCTTCTTCTTCTCTTGCTCCTCCTCCTCTTCCTTCTCGTCTTCGTCCTCCCCCTTCTTCTTTCTTCTTGGCCTCTACAACTCTGACCAACTAACATTAAAGAGTATGTCTAGGTGAACTGTTCTCGCTCAACGTGCGTGGTCCAGCCAACGGTGTAGCCTCCATGGTCAACTGGACGATGTCATTCGTTGTCAGTCTCGCCTTCCAGCCTTTACAGGTACAGTCTCATATAACCTCTCCTTACAGATGAGTTTACCCTTTCATTTTACTGTTTTCTCTCATCTTGTATTAAAGAAAACTGAATTAAAGTAACACGATGTGATTCTCTATTGCGTCTCCCTGATCCCCCCAAAGGCAGCAATTGGACCTTACGGCATCTTTTGGTTTTTCGCTGCCTGCTGCGCCATCAGCATCATCTTCTGTATTCTGGTGGTGCCGGAGACGAAGGGCAAGACACTACAGGAGATAACCAGACAATTAGGAGGTCCAGACACCACGGAGGTCACGCTGAAAAAACAGGAAGAAATAAGTCGATTTTAAAAGTTCCTTCGGCCCATCATCACCACACCTTAAGCATTTGACGTGCAGCTGCGTCGGAATGAGGTGTTCCCACCCAGGTTCCTCCGCCCTAGAGTGTACATATTCATATTCTGTTACATCAAATGTTTTTAAACTTATAATCAGGGTTTTGTTACACATACAACTAGGACCGGTTCCAAATAGGCAGACATACGGCTGATTATAACCATAATCTTGTTATGGTAATTTATTACAATTAATATGGTTTATTTGTAACCATAATTGTAATCAAGATAATTTTTATCTATTAATTCACAATCTTATCATCTTTATGATAACATTGCAAATAATAAATACAATCAAACATTTTAAAAAACCTATCATCATATTGTAATCATAATCTAACTTCTATACTTTATAGTCATAAGTGTAATCGTATCCGCCCCCAAAATATCGTCTTATTCTCTGATTATAATGATTGTAAGTGAATCACTTGTAATATTATCATTATGCAGATGCATAATTTGGTGTTATAATGTTTGTTTTCTGTCTCAAGCAGAAGTTATTTTGGCAATTTTAGGGAGATTTTCTTGTTTAAGTTGATGTATTACTCATATAAGATTATTCTAGAATGTATTGCATCACTTTTGTTATGATTTACTTATTATTGTAAGCCTAGATCATCTTAGACTCTCCAGGTGTTCTCGTTCCGACGTGTAGCGCCTTAATGTCGCTAGACTGCTCTCGGCGTCTGACGAGACATACAGTATATAAAAACTCGGGAGTTGCCAAGGAAATAGGTCGATCGTTTCTGCTCAGTGTCCAGATCAAGTTTGTGAGGTGGAGGAATATATTTGTCTTTATCTTATTTCACTCTCTGATATGTGCAAGAGGAGAAATTTTCTTTTATGATTATTAATTTATATTTATTTTCTGTTACTATAGCTTACATCACGTTCTTTAATTTCCTTAAGTTATATTATATTGTTTTCTATATTTTTCTAAGTCTTTATTTCATTATGTTTATTATTTTATTTTCTGTATTTTACTTTTCTTACTTATTGTTTATTTCTTTCAATGTCATTATTTGTTTATTATAATTTCCTCTCAATTATTCGAGTATTTATATTTTTTGTGTATTTCATCTTACTTTTATTCTCAGCTACGTTTAGTTATATTCTGTTCAATGAATTAAACTGGGATAACCATATCATTCTTTAACATCCTCTCTTAGTATGACTATTATACTTACACAGTAGACTGCAACACTCAGACGTCTGAGTGTTGCAGTAAAGTATTCAGTGATTGAACTTAGGTTTGTTGTTGTGGATAAAGATTCACATTGTCATATTATTCACAGTTGATTTGAATAAATATTGATTTAGTATATTGTGAGTATCCTTCTAATAATTGGTTCTCAGAAAATATATCATTGACAATATAGATGGTCACTTTACACAGTTGCTAATAGCACAGTGATATTAATACATTTCTTATATGTTCCTGTTATTACTGAATGAACAACCTGGAAATGTTTACCGGGCCATCTCAACTGTGAGAATGACTGGTCTACTCACAGAGATACACATACCACTTCTGTGGATCCTAATATTTAGAACAACCTGCTCTCACAGGAACATGTACCAGTACATCAGGTGTGAGTACACATTGATCATTTACTCACACTAAAAACAGCCCTAATATTGGTAATAGCAATATTCACTGGTTTCCATACTCAACTGGGACAATTATATTTCTGTTTATTATCAACGATCATCTGCATTTAAGAATAATCCTTGACACCAGTCAAGATTAGTTTACAGCAGGCTGACACCGCTGAAGCTCGTTCACTAGTAGCATTGAGTAGACTCAGCGCAGCGACTAGAGTGGGGCTCCGTGTGACTAACGGCAATATTATTAAACAACATCTTCCCTTGAAGAATATCTTCATATCGAAAGCCGTATCTTTAAATGCGAAGAACGGGGGATCGGTGGTAGAAGCGGTACCGTTCTTGCCTCGCAAGCGAAATGTCCCGGGTTCGATTCCCGGGCCGGTGGAAGTTGTTTGGACTTACTTCCTAGCCCCCATTAGTCCCTGTTCACCTAGCAGTACAGTAGGTACCTGTTGTAAGTCGGAAGTTGCGAATTAGTATTCAAGGACAAGTTGTTGGAGCTTCCAATAACTTGATGACATAAACCATTGACTCTTCAGGCTTCTACGCCCTTAACTCATGAGACATAAAGGCAAGCATGAACTTAGCATGCTTCCCTGTTGGGCGCTGTAAACGCTTCACCTTACACAAGGATGTAGGGGAGTGCCCAATAATAAAAAAATAAAAAATAAATGCGAAGAACCTTTTAGTGCAGCGCACGAAAGAGTGTGGTGGCATGAAAACGAACTAATTTCACCTAACTTTGAAGAGGTGGCTATGAGCTGCTTTTCGTCACCCTCTTCATAATTATTTTGTTAGTTTCATTGAATATTTCTTGTCAATACGATTAACGTACAAAGAAACAGGTATTGGTAATTTTACAAATGTTTTTTTTTACATTATTGGTTTTACGGCCCATATTATGACAGTGCAAAAGCTGTGTTCCCTGTCCTAATACGACTTTCGTAAAAGCTGTGCTGCCTGTCAATTGTTATTACCAAAGGCAAGTGGCTGGAGTCATCCCATCTTACTAATGCTAGTATTAATCTGGTAGGCACATTTACGGTAATTTATTAAACTTTTTAGCAGTTTTATAAGTGAGTTTCTGTCAGGAAAATATAAACTAGTGACGTTCTTGCCTATAAATATTAATATGGATAGAGGCAAATATCACTGGGAGAAAATCATCTCAAAACTTTGTTGCATATATTAATAAATTAAGTCCATTTAAGTTATTTAATGCCAATTTTTAGCAGTTTTATAAGTGAGTTTCTATCTGGAAAATATAAACAGGGGAGGTTTATGCCTAGAAATATCAAAATGGATAGAGGCAAATTTCACTGGGAGGCCATTATCACAAGGATGGTATAATGTTACATACTAAAACACCTTTGATACAGTGGATCATGATATAATATGTAAAATACTGCAGCTCTAATTTTTCATCACCAATTACATTATTTCGTTTTGGTAAACTTCCATTTGGCTGAATTAGGAGCATAATAAAACAAGTTCATTGGAAGCTGGAGTTTGATTATTTAATGAAAATGTGCCTTAAGCATATATGATACAATATTTTGGCTAATATAGAGGACTTCACAGCAGCTTCCCCCGTCTCAGTAATAGTAAGTTCGCCCACGGCAAGTCATAATTTATGCTAGGTTAGGTTAACTTAACTTTACTTTAACTCATAAATACTCTAACACCTTTTCCAACATTTGCCATCAATACGACCGTCTCACTATAAAACATATTGAAATTGGGGCGTTTATAAATATGTTTTCTCTGAAAACAAAAATTTTTAACCTTAGAAAATATAATAAAGGCATACCAGCCCTTAAAGGCCATTTCCTATTATTTTATGCATTACTGTACATTATTATTTTTTTTAAATTACTTTGGAAACATGTGAAATTTTTTATTTCCCCGGTGTTTTTAACTAACAGGTTGAATTGGCAAACGGAAATTTTTAGAAAAATGAATCGGGGGAAATCGAATCTGGAATTTTTGGAATAAATTTGGAAACCAAGATGGACAAGCGGCACTGGCAAGGTTGGAGGAAATGCAGAGACAACGACACGGAAGACGACTCCGCAGAATTGTAGGTGACCGCATGAACCCATTCACAGCAATGAGCGATGCTGAATTTGTTGACCGATTTAGGCTAAGAAAGGAATTGGTTAACAGTATCATCCAAAAAATTCAGGAACAACTTGCTGTTGCCAATGATAGGAGAGGTGAGCAAAGTTCCATATGACAGATGGTACAGGTTATTTCTACTGAACGTGTATGTTTTAAACCATGGCCTATCCGGGTCAATATAAATAACACTAAAGCTACGTAATTATTACCACGTTAATCAATGCTTACATTATTTCATGTTGCTATTGTACTTGCTTCACACCTCGACCTTTCATCATGTGTGCTTCACAATATAGCCATAATGACGAGGGTCTTATTACCAGAAGAGGAAGGCGAAGAAGAAATGGATGATTTGCATATAAACCCAAATATAGGTCAAATAAATATGCAAGGCAGGATTAAAAGGCAACAAGTCATCAGAGACCACTTTTGAATATTGTTTATACAGAGAATTACTTTTAGTTGTCCATCCTTTTAACTGGACAAGGAGGGTCATTTATGTCCGTTAAGGTCTCAGCAGTCCAGAGGTATAGTAATGCCTCTATGTAATACTGTATAGAGCTACACTACAAGGTTGATTTTTTAATGTGTTATCTATATACTGTAGATGTTAAGGTCCATATGGAGTTACTGTATTTATACACAGTTCTTTATTCTATTATGTTCATATGTAATTTGCAATAAGTGTAAAAAACTCACAGTTCAATAGACTTTCAAAATGCACATACTAAAAATTCATACTTGTCTAAACTGGAGGGGGAACTCGGATTGCAGAGGTGGGACACCTGGCAGCCTCATAGGAGCGACATAGTGTCAATACATCCTGAAGAGAAGAGGAAGAGTCGAGGGAGGTGAGGCGTTGGACAAGCTCCTCGTCCTTAACACCCATTAGGATCACCTGCTTCAACTGGGTCTCCTCGCACTGCTGCTGATTACCGGGACATATGTCTATCTCTTCCGAGGCTCTCTTGAGTCGTACGTAGAAGTCGTCAAAAGTCTCGCCCTCCATCTGTCTACAGCTAAACACTTCCCTCCTGCGGAGAGCTTCATTCCGGTGACCTTTGATGTGCCGTTCTAGAACATCCAGTACCTCCTCTACAGACAACAAAGACGTCAGGGGCACTTGCAACGTGTGTTCCAACACATGCTGCGTTCCCAAAGACAGGCACATACGTAGCTGAATGAAAGCTGAATGAGTTGTTTAGGCTGTGGCAAGCTCTGGAGATCCACCATTGTAGCATAATCAGTCCACCGTCGCCACCACTCACGAAAAGTCTGGAAAGTCTCATCAGGCTTCAAGGTGGGTGGGGGTTGGACAACCGCTTTGGCAGAAGGCGTTGACGAGGTATCTGAGCCAGCCGATACTTGAGCAGTGGAAGGGCCAAGGGCTTGATTAGCAGTGAGGCTAGATATCAAAGCTGCAAACCGTTTGTTATCTTCCAATCTCCTTTGGTGGTCCTCAGCATGTCTTCGTCCTGATGCCTCTCCTCCCTCATAAGCTTCATCAGAGCAATTATCTCTGAGGACAAGGCTGAGGGTCGAGGGGTGTGGCTGGGAGAGGGTGGGGCGTCGCGCACT